TCAACGGCCTCCCTCCTTCATACCAATCTTTCAAGACTGCTATCAGGACAATTCTCACACCAATTCATTTGGATCAGTTGTACCCTCTTCTTCTCAGTGAAGAAGTGAATCTTGCCAGCGACGCCGCAAAAGTCTCCAACAACTCAGATCCGAATACAGCTCTGTTCGTCCAGCGCGGTAGATGGCGGCGATCCCGTGGTCGGAACTCCTCTAATACTACAAAGGAGCCACGGAGTTCAGCTTCATCATCATCTTTAATTTGCCAAATCTGCCTCAAGAAGGGCCACTCCGCCGCTTCTTGCTGGCATAGAGCAAATCTGCAGTACACCCCGCCAACAAATCAAACCTCAACGACACTTCTGGCTACCAACTGCAATACCGATTCCAGCTGGTACTTGGACTCCGGGGCCTCTGCTCACCTGACAAACTCCATGGATAATCTCTCTATTTCCCGACCATACCAAGGCTCAGACACCATAACTATCGGCGACGACAGCTCCGTGAACATTGCTAACACCGGGGCGGGACTTCTCCCGACCCCGTCACGTAAGCTGCATTTATCTCAAATACTTTACTCTCCCGCCATCTGTTACAATCTTATTTCTATTTCCCAGTTTACAAAGGATAATGATATTACCATTACCTTTAACCCGTCTGGATTTGGATTGAAGGATATGAAGACTCAACGAGTTCTATTTCAAGGACCATGTAACAATGGTCTTTACACTTTGCCATGCAAACCATCCACGGCAGAGCATACGGTGCTTCTCACAGCTTCTACAAAGGTAGATTCATGGCACAAGAAGTTAGGCCATCCGAATAAGCACACATTCGACTTAATTTCTAGTCGTAACCCGAGCCTCAATTTAGGCAAATCGTCTATCTCGTGTGCATCTTGTGCTATGTCAAAAAGTCATAAATTGTTTTTTGAACCATCTACACACACTTCTACTACTTTGTTAGCTTTAATTCATTCTGATGTTTGGGGCCCTGCTCCCGTTATCTCTAATCAAGGCTTCAAATATTATGTAATTTTTGTGGACGATTTTTCTAAATTTACCTGGTTGTTTCCATTAAAAATGAAATCTGAAGTTCTTGACACATTTATCAATTTTAAGAAACAGGTTGAGACATATACAAACCAGAAAATCAAAATTTTTCGTATAGATGGCAGAACCGAATACATGAATCATGCATTCTCAAATTTTCTTCGATCGAATGGTATCATTCATCAGGCTTCATGCCCCTATACACCAGAGCAAAACGGAACTGCCGAGCGTAAGCATCAGTACATTACTGAGACTATCCGCACCCTCCTCCACACATCCTCAGCCCCTTACAAATTTTGGCCATACACCGCGCTTACCGCAACCTATCTAATAAACTGGTTGCTAACTCCTAATCTCAACAATTTCTCTCCATTTGAATTACTTCATAACACCAAACCCAATTACAGCTTCTTGAAAACTTTTGGCTGTGAATGCTATCCCCTTATTCCCTCGCAGAATCGGCATAAACTTCAACCCAATGCTACACCGCATATCTTCCTTGGATATTCCGACATGTACAAAGGATATAAGTGTCTTGACATCGCTACCAACAAGATTACTTTCTCCCGGCATGTCTTGTTTCACGAAAATAAATTTCCTTTCTCTGCTAAACTCGGCAATCATTCTGCAACTCCAGCTGATATTCCTCCTCTATTGCTCACCCCTGCCTCCACAGTTATACAGACCAAGCAGACTCAGCCTCCGCATGCTAACATTCCTATGCCAACTACTGATAGTATCACTAGCTCTTCCCAGCAGAATCCGGGTCCAGATACCATCCGCTCGAGTAACTGCTCTCAGACTCCCAGTAACTCCGCTCCTCCGACTCACCCGATGACTACCCGTAGCAAAACCGGATCATTGCGACCTTCCATTCGACTAAATCTGCTGCATAAACAAACATCGCCAACACATTCTATTCCTCCTACCACTTATTCAGAAGCTGTTAAAAATGCAGATTGGCGCGAAGCAATGGCTATGGAATTCTTAGCTTTGCAACAGCAAGGAACATGGTCCCTCACTCCTCCTCTGGCAAATACGGCGATCTTAGGATGCAAATGGACATACAGATTAAAATTTCATGCAGATGGATCTATCGCCAAACACAAAGCCAGACTGGTTGCTCTCGGAAACCACCAAGAATACGGAATTGATTACACGGAGACATTCAGTCCAGTCGCAAAGCTTCCCACAATCCGCGTTCTGTTAACTATAGCGCTCCACAATGACTGGCCGGTTCAGCAACTGGACGTAGCCAACGCTTTTATTCATGGAAATCTGAATGAAACGGTCTACATGGCTCAACCTAAAGGTTTTGAGGATACCATCCATCCAAATCACGTATGTCGCCTTCATAAATCAATCTACGGATTAAAACAGTCTCCGCGACAGTGGTACAACACGTTTACTGAATTTCTTGTCACTCTTGGGTTTGCTCATAGTCAATCGAACCCTTCTCTTCTACTGTACAAAATCGAAAACACAACAATTTTTCTCCTCGTGTACGTCGACGATATTCTGATATCCGGCAATAATCAAGCTGTTATCAGTTCCATTCTGTCCAGACTTCGTATCCGCTTCTCTATGAAGCATCTTGGGGAGGTAAATGACTTTCTCGGTATTAAAATATCAAAATTCTCACAGCAGTTTTTTCTTTCACAGGAACACTACGCAACCAAAATCCTCCAGGAAGCGGATCTATTGCACTGCAAACCTTTGGCTAATCCTACGTGTACCAAACCTCCTGAATTTGTTCCAGCTGATTCTCTGTTGCAGGACGGTCGTCTCTATCGAAAGCAAACAGTTTTTTCTTCATAAATCATTGCTTTTAGTGTCAATCAGCTATCCCAATATATGCACAATCCACAACCTCAAAACATCTATATGCTCAAACGCCTTCTAAGATATATCAAAGGTATGATCAATTTTGGAATTCCAATTACAAAATCTAATCTACTCCTTACTGCTTTTTCAGAAGCCGACTGGGCAGGCGATCCATTATCACGCAAATCCACATCAGGTTTTTGTTCATTCTTGGGCGATATGATCATTTCCTGGACGGTTAAGAAGCAAACTACAGTCGCCCGATATTTGAGTATTTTTTTAATGAATTTATTTTATTTGATAATTTATTATATATTTACATAAGCTAAATAGATTTATGTGTTGTTTGCTTATTTGTTTGTAATACATTTAAATGTAAAGTAAATCAAATAGAAAGTAATTAATATATGAATTTGAAATTCATCTTTCAGTTCATTTTTGATGAATTTCAAAATTGTTAAATTTAGATGGATTGCTACATCCAATAATTGTCCGCTAACGACATCCACCACGAACAACCGCTATGGACCACCACCCACCAAGTCCACTTTAGCGCCCTCTTGCGTGCCGCCATCACCAATCGGCCAATGTTTATACTAAATAAGGCTTCGTTTGAGATAACTTTCTTATTATTTTTTAAAGCAGATATTTAGCAGAAAATTTCTAACTCAAACAAAATTTGTACTAAAAGTTGCTTTTAAAAAAATAGTAAAAAAATTGTCACAAATAAATCCTAAACAAAATTTAATTGAAGTTTAATGTAAAAAATAGTCCAAGAGATCATTCTTCCAATCAAATAGCTCAAAACATCTTCCCTATATACTATATGTTATTTTTTTCTGTAGATTCTCTTTCAGCAAACAAGTGACTTATTACCATGAACCCTTCCCAGGCCGGGCAAATTGATGTCTTCGAGTGTTCTTGTAAATTTTTTTATTTTCCTCTTTGGTGCGTCCAAAAAAAAAAAAAACCATAGCAATTAATATAAAAAAAAGAATTAATTAAAAATAAGATAAAAATTAGTTTATATGAAGGCAATTATTGATTATGACCTTACTTTAATAATGGAGCTTAGTATATAATTATATATTACTATGGTGGAAAATATCTTTTGATGCTTTAAAATAAGAATAATTTTATGTTAATTTAACAAAAAATTCGAATATAAAAAGTTATTTTAATCCCTAAAAAATAGGAAGATAAATAAATTTATGACAAAAAAAAAACTTTGATGATCAAATTGCATGGAGGATCACTTTGTACAAAACAAAGTAAATTAGGACGAGTGTGAAAATTATTATATTTACATTGAGAATATTATAATATAAATTCTACATAGATATATCACTAATCTCAAAACAAATACAAATAATTTCGAGCTAATCTGGATAAAATTTTGATTAGGATATTCTCTCACAATTTTTTTTGCTTCAAAGATCCACAAGAAATTTAACTTATTAACTGATAAGATTTGTTAATCTTGACTAATTCCCAGTTATGAGAATATAATTGCCAAACCAATGGAAATTGAAAAGCTAATCATTAAATGCAAAATGTATTCAAAGCAATATAAGATGTCTTAGTTTACAAAAGATGGATAATTAAGTTATTTTTTTATATGGATAATTAAGTTATTATTAATGAAAGTGATTAGTTAAATTTTATGTTGTTTTATTTTTGTATCAAATTTTGAATAGGAATAAAGGCCTACTTTTATTATATAGAAATTCCATAGGAATGTGCATCATGATGGTAGAAAAAAAATATTTTTTTTTTTGTTGAATAATGGAATATTTTCCCCTTTAAGAAAAGCTCCCCTTACCCTCCCCTTCTTTGGATGACCCTCTACGAATTTGGATGACACCATATGCTCATCCACCAAACGTAAATCTTGTAAGATGACTTTAATTAATTAACTGTTTTGTTCGCATACATGGATGAGCAATGATCTAGTTCTTCTTGAAAGCCTGTAGAGCGATGAAGCACACAGGAAAGACGACGGGAAGAAAAACAAAACAGAGAAAATTTTATTGAGTAAAAAACTGTCTCAGTACATAGCTTAGGACAATATTTATAGACGCAGCTTATACAATTCTTTACCAATTACAACAGGACACGTAAACACACTTAAATATGTGTTTTATTGTTTTTAGAATAATCAATGTCTTTATCATTTAATACCCTCCTGCAAGCTGATGCACCGGAGGTGAGCATCTTGCTAACAAGCAGTTTGAACCGTGAGATAGATAAAGACTTGGTGAAAAAATCTGCTAATTGGTCTTTGGAAGAGATATGATGAACCTGAATGCTTTGATTCTTGATACACTCCCGAATAAAATGACAATCTACTTCAATATGCTTCGTACGTGCATGATAAACTGGGTTGTTTGCCAAGACAATTGCCGAGGTATTGTCACAATATAAAATGGTTGGTGAGGTTTGAGCAAAACCGAATTCTTCAAGAAGCCGGCGAAGCCAAATGATCTCTGTGGTAACTGCAGCAATAGCACGATATTCCGCTTCAGTGGAAGAACGTGCTATGGTTGTTTGCTTCTTGACGCTCCATGATATGAGTGTATTGCCAAGAAAATTACAATACCCGGTTGTGGACTTGCGGTCTTGCTGATCTCCTGCCCAATCCGAGTCAACATATGATCGGAGATTCATAGATGAGCCTGTAATCGGTAATCCATAATGAACGGTACCCCGCAGATATCGAAGTATCCGTTTTAAAGCATCAAAATGCTGATCCGTCGGACTATGCATGTGTTGACAGGCTTTGTTGACTGCATACGTAATGTCAGGACGTGTAAGTGTTAGGTATTGTAATGCGCCAACTAATTGACGATACAATGTAGGATTGGAGAAATCCGGTGAAGCAGAGGACTGAGGCGTCTTGATGGATATTGGCGTAGCAACTTCTTTGCTGTTCTGCATCCCGGCCCGGCGTAGTATATCTTCGGCATATTGGGATTGTTGAAGAAGTAGCCCGTTTGGATGTGATTCAGCAGTTATGCCAAGAAATTGATGTAGATTACTGAGATCCCTCATTTGAAAACGTTGATGATGTTTGGATAATAATTGAGATATAAACAAAGAATTGTTACCGGTTAAAAGAATGTCATCAACATAAATCAAAATAAAAATTCTTATGTGATGTTTATGATAGATAAATAGCGAAGGATCAGAATGACTAGTAGTAAACTCACATTGGTGTAAAAATCCAGTAAGCGTTTCAAACCATTGACGCGGAGCTTGTTTAAGACCGTACAACGCTTTCTTTAATTTGCATACATAAGTAGGGTGATCCGCGTCAATAAAACCTGGTGGTTGCTTCATATAAACCGTATCAGTTAGAGAACCATGCAAAAAAGCATTAGAAACATCTAATTGATGTATGGGCCATTTTTGATGTAAAGCTAAGACAAGTAAAACGCGAACCGTAGGAATTTTAGCAACTGGGCTAAATGTGTCAGTGTAATCAATACCAAATTCTCTATTATATCCTAAGGCGACAAGACGAGACTTATAGCGAGAAGCAGTGCCAGAGGAGGTTCTTTTAGTGCGATATATCCATTTGCATCCAAGAATGTGTTGATCCGGTTTTGGAGGAACTAAGTCTCAAGTTCCTTGAGATTGCAACGCCTGAAACTCTTGAGACATAGCAGTACGCCAGTGTTCCACTTTGCTAGCATGAGTATAGGAGGTCGGATCAGCATCAGTTAATTGATGAGTGAGATCAAAAATGACTTTAGGCTTAAGATGACCGGTTTGCCGCCTAGTTTTCATAGGATGAATGGGAGCAGTAGAGGTAATAGGATTGATAGAAGCAGGTTGTGGTGAGGTAAGAGGTCTGGAATTGATGGAGATCTGTGGAATAGAGGAATTCTGAGTTGTATTACCCGAAGGATCCAACGTCTGAATTGCTTGGGACGGCTGAGAGGTATAGTGATAAGAAGTATTGGGCTGGCGCGATAGAGGAACCAGGAGTAACGGAGGCAAATCTACATGAGTAGACTTAACCGGGGATTTATGAACAGAGGATTCTTTTTGAAAGGGAAAAATGTTTTCAGTAAACACCACATGTCGAGATATAAACACGCGACCGGTAGAGGGATCAAGACACCTATACCCTTTTTGTTGAGACGCATACCCAATGAAAACACACGGTATGGACAAGGGAGAAAGTTTAGATTTAGAGTAAGGTCTCAACCAAGGATAACAAAGACACCCAAAAATTTTAAAATGAGCAAAAGAAGGTTGTTTCTTGTATAAAGTTTCAAACAGAGTTATGTGATGAAGATTGGGTGTAGGCAACCGATTTATAATATAAAATGCCGTATGTAAAGCTTCAACCCAAAGTGTTAAAGGAGCATGGCAATGAATTAAAAGACTGCGAATAGTTTCTAAAATATGTCTATTTTTACGTTCCGCAACACCGTTTTGAGCAGGCGTATAAGGGCAAGTATACTGATGATTAATGCCCCAAGATTGACAAAAAGACTGAAAAGAACGATTTAAATACTCACCACCACCATCTGTACGAATAGTTTTTAAAGTCGTTTGAAATTGACATTTAACCATGCGAAAAAACAGAATAAATTTGCTAGTAACTTCAGATTTGTGTGTTAACGGAAAAAACCCAGCAAAATTTAGAAAAGTCATCAATAAACGTAACAAAATAGCGAAAACCTTGAGAAGAAATAGTAGGACAAGGTCCCCAAACATTCGAATGAACTAATTCGAAAGAACAAGTAGATCTAGAAACAGATACAGGAAATGGTAATTGACAACTTTTAGCCAACCGACAACTGTTGCAAGAATGTAAAGAGCCTACATTACACGAATTAAATGGTAAAACAGTAGATAACAGTTTTAATGTTGATCCGGACGTGTGCCCAAGTCGCAGATGCCAAAGATCTGGGATGGTGTTGATGGACAGCAGAGCAAGATCTGAAATTTGAGTGGTTGGACGAACAGAATACAACCCTCTATGGCAAGGGCCTTGAAGAAGAACGTGACCTGTCTTCAGGTCCTTTATTTGATAGCCATTAGAAGTAAAACAAACGATGCAGTTATTGTCGCGAGTAAGTTGGTAAACAGAGAGTAGATTAAAAGAAAGATTCGGGACATGATTTATGTGATTTAGAACGAGGTTACCTGATGGAGTTGGGAGGATGCCGTTACCCGTATTTTGAATTGAGAACTGACGGCCATCACCAATCATAATTTGAGAATTATCGTCATATGACTCCATTGATGTCAAGTTGGATTGATCGGCTGTTAAATGCGTTGAAGCTCCACTATCAAGAAACCAGTCAGAGGGAATGGAAGCATCGGTTGTGCCGATCAGTGCAGTTTGCGCAGGGTTGGCAGTATAATTGAGATCGCTGCGATGCCAACAACGAGCAGCCGAGTGACCTGTTTTAAGACAAATTTGACAGGTAACATTGCGGTAAGGATTTCGATCACCTCGATTGGTAGTAGACGTATTTCCACGACCACGACGGCCGCGACTTGCATTGAATCGTCCTCGGCCACGACCACGGGATGCCGTGAGAGCTGTAGAGGTATCCGTGAGGTGCAAAGATTGTAAATCTTTTGCAGTTTCTTGAACAATATTTTGTTCTTCAGAACACAAAAGACTGTACAAATCATCTAAGCCAATTGGTTGTAAACTTGTGCGGATTGCAGTCTTGAAGGAGTGATAGGATGATGGGAGGCCATTAAGTGTGTACAACACAACGTCTTCGGGATCGATATGACTGCCAGCAGCAGCCATGGCGTCGACTTTGGCTTTTATGTCCAGCAAGTAATCGGTCATAGAACGATCACCTTTGGTGACGTGATGGAGATCATTTTTCAGTTGAATGATACGAGATCGTGTGGTGGATTGAAGACGAAGAGAAAGAGTATTCCAAATTTCGAAGCAAGAAGTGAGAGATAAAACGTATGGTAAAATAGTCGGAGTGATTACAGAACATAAGGCAGAAGCAAGATGTTGATCTGTAAGACGATTTGAAGCATCGGTAAGAGAAAGAGATCCGTCCAAGAAACCCATGAAGCCATTTGCACTAAAGATCTTTTCCACCTGAGATCTCCATAGGGGATAGTTGTCTGCCGTAAGAGAGGAAGGAACAAGATTCTTGATATTACTGATCAAGAATTTGAGTTGAGGAGTTATCACAGTGAGAGAAGAGGAATCAGAAGCAGGAGTTCCTAAATGGGAGGAAGCCGATTGATCGACCATGGAGAACGATCGATAAACGACAGAAGCGGAGAAGAGAGGAAAAAAAAAATTTAGAACCTGGAGAAGTCCCGCTCTGATACCATGTTAACCTGTAGGGCGATGAAGCACACAGGAAAGACAACGGGAAGAAGACACAAAATAGAGAAAATTTTATTGATTGAGGAATGCCCAACAGTACAAGACAAGACTATATTTATAGACACAGCTTATACAATTTCTTTACCAATTACAACAGGACACATAAACACACTTAAATATGTGTTTTACTGTTTTTAGAATAATCAATGTCTTTATCATTTAATATAATTGGGCACTGATCCAATCAAATCAACTAGATTCAAGCTCTAGCTAGCTATAGTTCAAACTTTCAGAATGCCTAGAGATCTACGCTTTATCTTTTTTTTTTTTCTTTGGCCAAATGGAGCTTAACAATTTTAATATTAGTAATCTAGCTAATATAATGAAATTGTTAAATGAAATTCCTTTGCCAAAAAAATTCAAATCTATCAGAACGTTTTCACTAAAAAATTATTAATTTAATTAATCATTTTGTATGGATATGTATAGAGAAAAAACTGCTACATTTTATTCTAGACTTATTTTATAAGATCTCTTAATTTTCCTAACATTATTTTGAATAAAAACTTGCAAAAATCCAAATTTTTTGTGGGCTCCGAAAATTCGGCCCCGGCCTTCGCCCGCACTGTTGTGCTTTCTTTGGCGATGGAGTTTTAACGGATAAGTTCCAGGGTAAATTTTGGAAGGCAGATGGGTTTGTAGATAAGACACTACCCAAAGATTTCGCCCTCATTTTGCGAGGACTTTATGATCCGAGTTCTGGTTTCCTATAGGCGCAAGTCCCTATAGTTAATTACCCCTCCCGATAATGAGAAAGAACTTTCGATTAAGGCTAGTCGTCAATCAGATATGTAGGATATACGTATTATCTGGTATATAATAGCAGCAATGGGCATTTGAACTGATTGAAGAATTTAGGAATTTAGAGGATTGGAAAATTTAGAGATTTGATATTCAAAATTGAAAATTACACCATCTTGCACTTAAAGCGGATGGTGGGGGAATGGATGATAGACCCGATCAAGATCCCGTGGTTCTGTCGTCTCGGGCCATCGTGGTCCCTGGTCTACTTAGTCAGAGGAGGTAATCGACCCAACCTGATAAAATGATCCTTGTCGGCAGCCATGGGTTGTTTCGTCCAAGGGGACCTTGTAGACCTGGGTTAGATGTTTGCCTAAGAAGACAAATTTGAATCCACCTTAGCAGACAGAGGGCTTTGTGCCCTATCAATCATATCCTATTGATTTATATCTCAAGGATTTGATGCCATTAAGGAGCATATTGGCTCTGTCAATAACTAGTATTTCGTGGTGCCATTTGGCGGCAAAACCACTCGGTTCAGAGGACCCCGGGTTATAACCGTTTATCCTGCGCTGCCATTTGGTAGCGAAACCACCAGTTACATGACACGTACCACGTCCTTATTGGCAGGAGATTGTTTGAGAATGGATCTCAGTGATATTTTTGACTAGGCATTTGGCTCTTTGTGAGCTGAAGTAAATTTTGATTTGTCCACCCCGGCAAACTATTGCGGAGGGTGGATGGATTTTTCTTTGAGTGATTGATAGTTTATTTCAAATTTTTAAATATTTAGACTTTGGGATTTGTGGAGTTTGGATATTTGAGTGGACTTGTGGGAGGCACTTTGAAAAATATTTGTAAACCCCTCCGGTTGAGATCTGCATTCAACACGGCCATCATCGGGATGTTATGGGTCATTTGAAAATATTTATGTCTTGAACCTTATCGAACCTATCGACTTGCCGATAGGGGATCGGGTTTGGTAGGCTTTGTGCCTTTATTAGTGAATTCATATTGTTATAGGCCTTGAAGGCCTAGTATGAATGTATTAAAACCAATACACCGGTCGCCACAATCATATATTTGTTTGAAGGTTCGAACCCTGTCGACTCCTATAGATTCGTATAGAAGGATCGGGTCCGAACTTGAATTCACTTATCAACCCTCACAGCATCCCTATACGTTACGTGTGTACCAATAACACGCTCGTAGGGGCCCATGTGGGTGTTTGGGGGCATTTTCATTTATAGACTGAACCTTGTCAACTCGACCAAGTTGTTGATCGAGGATCGGGTTTCTCGTAGGCTTTGTGCATTTATTAGTGAATTATTTTGATTATAGGTCTTGAAGACCTAATATAAATGTATTAAAACAAGTATATCAATCGTCATGATCGTTTATTTGTTTGATGGTTTGAACCCTGTCAACTCCTACTGATCCATATAGAAGGATCGGGTTCGAACTTGAATTCACTTATCGACCCGGATAGTATCACTAGACGTCATGTGTGTACTAATAATATGCTCGTCGGGGCCCATGCGGGTGTTTGTGGGCATTTTGTAATTATTTATTGAACATTGTCGACTCCTATTACTTAGGAGGACCGGGTTTGAATTTATTAACCCGCACAGCATCCCTAGACGTCGTGTGTGTACCAATAACACGCTCGTCGTGGCCCTTGTGGGTGTTTAAGGGTATTTTGTAATTATTTATTGAATCTTGTCGACTCCTATTACTTAGGAGGATCGGGTTCGAATTTATTGACCCGCATAGCATCCCTAGATATTACGTGTGTATCAACAACATGCTCGTCGGGGCCCATACAGGTTCTTGATTATATACCCCCCCCCCCCCCCTTTTAGTGTACCTATGTGTATACAAACTACGATGCACGTACGGGGGCATTTACTTCAGACTTTGTTGATGCATTCTATCTTCTTGTACAAAGGTTACAGATCCGGTGGTGTGGCGTAGCAGCTTCTAAATATAGTTGTTTGTTACTTCGTACATGTAGATTATCGTGCACTACTTGTTGCTTTCTGTAGGTGGATCGTAGTGTACTAATGAGTCTCCTGCTTTTATCATTGGTTTCTTTGTATGTTGATTGGAGGAATCTCCTATATTTGCTTGCATGTCGACTGATATCAATTATGGAAGGATTATGTGTCACTTTGAACTTGATGTTTGTGTATTCATCTAAAATTTTTTCCTTCTTCGTGGTGCTTAAGAATCATTTGATTTTTCTTGCTCTTCATCAACCTTTGCTTGTGGTTTAGACGATTATCGAGTTTTGGGAAAACTACTACACTCATTGTATGCTAATTATTATTGTCCGCAAGTAGGTCATCGTATTCTTTACAACCATTGTTGATTGTTAATGGTGGATGAGCCTTGTTGAACATCATAAATCTTCCACTGCCATGTGAAGATGGTTCAGATGTTGTGTAGCAAATTTGATTAATAACATGTTCATCCCAATCAATGTGATGCCATATTGATATCTCAATGAAATTTCGTGTCTTGATTGCAATCATATCATTATACTTTCCAATCAACCTTTGCTTGTGAATAGATTGCATTCATTGATGGCTCCACCTCTTAGTGCCTTCAGACTTATTTACATAGATTTGTAGGCTGACTGATATCAACACCACTGGCTTTACATTATTTCTGTGTAAATTAGAAGTCCTATTCATATTGCTTGTTCATTTGCATTTGATCATTTTCTTTGATGTATCTTCTTGGAGCTTGATTGTTGTATTTAAGTTATACCCATTACAACTCCCCCAAGCATATTCTGTTAGCATATCATCATCCCACTTGCATGTTTATTAGTGTCTTCATTCAAATTGAGATGATTTTCCTTCATTTGCCATTGATTATAAACATGTCATGTTGAAAGTTTGCGGCTACTCCACTTGATCACTAACTTGTACTTGATTGCATGATTCTTCGTCATGATTTGTGAGTGAGGCTCTACATTCGTTGCAAGTCTTGTATGTTCTTTCTTTCCTTTGATTTGGACATATTAACTCACCAAATATGATATCACCTTAAATATCATATCATGTATCACATTTTTAGTTTGATGTCTAGGCTCATTTCAAGTCCAAGTTCTCGGTCGAATTTGATTGAAGTTCAAGCCTTTTTTGTGGTTCATTTAAGTTCCAATTCAGGTTCAAGTTAAGTTCAATGTGATTTGATCCAAGTTCTTGTCCTCTGCACAAGTTCATAGTCAAGTCCTCATAGTTTTGTTGAGTTCAAGTTCAAATTCTTCCTCTTTATTCAAGTTATAGTTCAAGTAGCATTTAATGTTCCTTTAATTTACAAGTCCAAGTACAAATAATGTCCCATGTTGTTGTCTAAGTCCTTGTCCTTTTCGGACAAAAATTCGAAAGCCTCCCGGCGTCTCCCTCGTTTAGGGGAAAAACTAAGAGGCCACCTATCCGTCACGTTAACAAAGACGTGCACGGTTGGTGTTTGTGAGACATCGCGGTGGTGATTTTTTTTATCCACCACGCCAACAAAGGCGTGCATGAGGTTTTAAAAAGTATTTTATTTGAAAAGCAATTTTTGATTTCCCCCCGATCGGAGGTACTTATGAGCGACCCCACCTCGCCGTAGGTGCTGCACCGGGGTCCCATCCCACCACGCACAACAAAGGCATGCATGGGTGGTTTTTCGATCTGCCACGAACATTGAAGTAAAGTTTTAGGTGATTACCTGCCTCATCGTAGGCGCCGCACCGGGGTCCCATCCCACCACGCGCAACAAAGGCGTGCATGGGCGATTTTTCGGTCCGCCGCAAACTCTGAAATGGGCTCTCGAGGTTTTGAGTTTAAAAAAATTCGTACCTTCACAGGGTTGTCGGTGTGACGGTGAGAAGCAAAAAAATGAAACTCTCTCTCTCTCTCTCTTTTGAATATCTTCTCTCTTTTTTTTTCTTTCTTTTTCTCTTTTTTTGCTTCTTTTTTTTTAACTCCTCTTTCTCTTTTTCTTTTCTTATATATACATCAATAATAATCACTAAAAAAGCTTTTTTTTACAATAAATAACGGCAATAAATGAAATAAACAGTATTAATGATAGAATAAAATAATGAGATGGACAAGCAATATTACTAATTTACTATTTCTATGCTTCCCTTTTTTTTTTTTAAATAGCAGATTGAGATATGTTCAGCCAATATGAGAGAAAAGGGAGGGTTCAGTTGAGTGGGCCAAATTATGCAGCTAACTTTTGATTTTAAACAAGGCAACCTGATATCACATGGGTCAAATGTACTCAGATAGTTGAAAATCCAATAACTTTGAATTTGAAATGTATGGGCAATCTTAAATCAACACCTGTCATCTAAAACTTGTGAGAATCTTTATGTAGAAACTTAATATGGACTATTTAAAGCATTGATGCCTTCCCCCACCCTTTTTTTTACTACACAGTAATTTCCCAGGACATGATATCATACTCTGAAATTTGAAATAATGAAAGCTGCTACCATTAAGATGCTCTACTTAAGTTGAGGGCTGTATGGATGTAAGAGCGAAAAGAGATGGGAAGAACTGGAGTGCTCTAGGGTTTCTCTCCTGCCCTAGTGCCGCCTCATGCTGATTTCTCTTCTCGATCTCCTCCTCCGGCGTTGCCGGAGGAAATTTTCTCCTCTTCTTCGTGGACACCTCTCTTCTTCCATCTGATTTCCCCCCTCTCTGTCCGCTTGTTGGCAGCTTGGCCAGCTTGACTCCTAAGAACTTGAGTCAAGTTTTTGCACTAGAGGTCAGTACCTCAAAAACTCTTGCTTTTTTCTCATCATCCTTCGAAGCCCGAAGTTATTCCCTTCTCGTGTGAAAAATTGAGCAAAGGAGATGTGAAGATTGGAATTTATGCTTGGTTGGCTATTCGATTGGGCGAAGGCCATTTTATGAAGCTTTATTGGGTGCCATTAAAAAGACTTGGAGCTTGTCAGGTTCTGTTCAGCTTCTTTCGTTAAATGATGGCTTCTTCCTTTTTCGGTTTTCTTGTCGGGAAGATTTCGACATTGTGTGGTCGAGAGGAGTGTGGTTTCTGTTGAGAAAACCGTTCATATTCCAAAAATGGCATCCAAAGTTCATCCCTAAGAGAGAGGAATTTTCCTCTGTTCCTATTTGGGTGAAAATCCACGACTTACCTCTAGCATATTGGAATTCTGAGGGGAGGATCTCTCGCATTGCTAGCAAGATCGGGATTCCGGTTGTTGCGGATAAACTCACTGAGCAAAAGGCAAGACTCACATATGCAAGAATTTGTGTTCTGGTTGATAATCTCACCACCTTCCCGGAGGTGATTCATGTCTCTTTGGACGGTGACGATGTTAGCCTGAAAGTTCAGTATGAATGGCATCCGTTTCCATGTGACCACTGTAAGTCTTTAATGCATTTTGCATCTTCATGTCCGTCAAAACCTCAACATGGTGTTAATGATAATGCCAAGGCTAAAGAGGTAAATCGTGGAAGGAGTTTTAGCAGGCAGGCCCGATACCGAGCTAAATCTAAACCTCAGAATAGGCAGTCTGAGGTTAATGTGGACAATCCTGAAGTGGCAAAAACCATTACTGAACCTTCCAGTCAAACTAAGGCTATCAGCACCAATGCTTTAGGTCAACCTTTACACTACCATCCACACTCTCCCACCCCTAAAAATTCTCCATTTAAAACTGATGTTATTATTGGAAATATCCCTTTGAGTAAGCCTCATTTTTCTGAAGATGCGATTGTTTCAGGCATTCCTAATCTAAACTCGCCTCATTAGGCTAACTCCTCCTCTTCTAGCACCCAGAACACTTTATCTACATCTTTACCTAAAGCTATAACATCTCCCAATAGATTTGAAGCTTTAACTATTGAGGATGATCAAAGTCAGCAAAATGAAGCATCAGAGCATATGGAGAGAAAATTGGGATACTCTCACTCTGATCATTCTAAAAATTTGGGAAAGAGTAAACAACTAACCTCTAGTGTCGTCGCTAAGAAACCTGCAAGGGAGAAGCAGTCTAAAAAAACCCAAGCAAATCAGAATCATTAATGTCTTTCCCACCCATGGCGGCGTGAGGTTTGCATTTTGGAGAATAGGATCAATGTACTATCTTTACAGGATCCTTTCTTTGACTCCTCTCACTCTCTTTTCGTGAACGAAGCTAGCTGTCACAGCTTTGCTCTTAACTCTTTAGGCCGGATTTGGATAAAATGGAATGCATCCAAACTAAGTTTCAAGCCTTCTCTGATTTCCTCTCATTTAATTTCTTGTATTATTTGTGTTGCTAACCAACCTATTATGCAGCTTTCTGCCATATATTCCTCTAATAGTGCTATTCAACGCAAGAATTTGTGGGATTTTATTGCTCAGATTGCTCCTTCTAATCATCTCTCTTGGGCTCTTATTAGGGACTTCAATTGTTGTCGATTTGCATCTAAAAATTGGGGGGGGTACTCCTATTACTCTCTCTGCCTTGACTGACTTAAATAATATAATTTTCAGCAATGGTCTGAATGACCTTAACTCTTGGTTTTAAATACACTTAGTTTAATCAACGCTCTGACAAGCCTATACACATTAAACTAGACCAAGTTCTTGTGAATGAGGGGTGGTTGGATGCCTTTGCTGATTTGTATTGCTCAATTCAAAACCCCTCCTGCTCAGACCACTGCCCTATTATTCTCCATTCCAGTTTGAATTTTCAGATGCATCACAGGTTTCTTTTTAAAAACTACTGGACTAAGCTTGATAGTTATTGGGATCATCTTGTTGAGGTTTTTTCTAAACCCTATGTTGGTAATCCTTTATCCCACTTCTGTAGCTCTCTAAAACTTTTAAAAGGTAGCATCAAAAAAGAGATTTGGTCGTCTTCTACCTGTATCAAGAGACATTTAGAGTATTTGTCTAAAAATAAGAACTTCTGTTGGGCAAGCTTCAAGTGGATCACAATAATCCGGTTTTAAATTTATCCTATAAGGAGATCACTACTGAATTAGCCAATTTCAACTCTATGCATACTTCTTGGATAATTCATAGAGCTAAGGTGAATTGGTTGAAATATGGAGAGGATGATTTGAAGTTCCTTTTTTCTAAAATTCGAACTAGGAGGGGTGGTAACAAATCAGTTGTGAATTTGCTTGCTAGCAATCCCTCTTCTTCTAGTTCAGATGTTATTTCCACCATTACTATGATTACTTCTAAGAACTCTATAACCCTGTTCCACCAGCTTTCTTGCGGCTGGAAATCTTTCCCATTGGGTCTATGCTACCCGACAGCTTTGCTTATTCCTGTACCTCTGCTGTGTTGGACGATGAGATTAAAAAGGTGGTTTTCATGGGTCTTCCAATTCTACTCCTGGCCCGGACGGGTTTAATTTTTATTTTTATAAAACGGCTTGGCACATCATTGGTCCTTTAGTTTGTAGAGATATTAGATCTTTCTTTCAAAAATGTTATATGCCTAATGGAGTTAAAGCCACGGCTCTTGCTATCATCCCAAAGAACAAAAATGCTATTGCTATTTCTGATCATAGGCCGATTGCCTTGTGTAACTCTCTTTACAAAATTATTGCTAAGGTTATTGCTGAAAGATTAAAGCCGGTTATGAACTTGATTGTCATGGACAATCAAGCGGGCTTCGTCAAATCTAGAGTCTCCACCGACAATATCCTTCTTGCTAGTGACATCCTTGCTTATGCTGGCAAGAATAAGAGGTAATTTTTTCTGTGATAAGCTTGATGTCAAAAAAGCTTTTGACTCTGTTTCCAGTGAATTCTTGTTAGCTAGACTTCTACAAAAAGGTTTTCCCAACCTCTTTGTAAACTGGATTAAAGCCTTTTGTCAATTTTTCTATTGTGCTTAATGGAGCCCTTGAGGGGTATTTCTCTTCTTCTGCAGAGATAAGGCAGGGTTGCCCTATTAGTCCTTATCTCTTTTGTTTGGTTATGGGCGCTTTCTCTAATCTCCTTAGGGGAGGGGCTTTAGGGGAATTTCTTTTGAGGATTATTCTATTAATCATTTGTTATATACAGATGATGTGCTGATTTTTTGGGAGGCCACCATTGATAATTGTAACTTGCTGGCTAACATTTTAAGTGATTTTGCCAATGCTTCAGGTCTCCATATTAATTATGTCAAAAGTGCTATTATGTTTCCAAAACATTTGAGAAACACCACGAAGATTTGTCAAGTCCTCTCAATTCACAACATTATCTCTAAAATCACTTATCTGGGTATCCCTCTGTCTTTCTACAAGCTGAAAATTGAAGATTATTGCCTCTTATGGATAGTGTTAACAAGAAAATGAATGGTTGGAAGGCGAACTTGTTGTCATTTGCTGGTAGGCTTCAATACATCAAATTCACTATCCATAACACCATTGCCTACTGGATAAGGGGGGTCATTCTTCCTAAAATTGTCTACAAATATGTTAAAAAAACTAGTTCTAGGTTTTTATTTTTTGGTGATTCTCATATTTCTAATAAGATGCATATGGTGTCTTGAGACAAAATCTGTAGGCCGAAATATAAGGGGGGTATGGGTATCCCTTCCATTTTTGCGTTGGAATTTGCCTATAAATGTTCTGTCATCTTTATGATGTATAATTTCCCTTCCCCTCTCTGTACTTGGCTTCTCTATAGATATAGGTCTCCTTGGAGACCTCCACCTGCTTATGCCTCTAAACTATGGAATTATGTTAATTTGTGAGACTGCTGTTGGTGTGAAAGCTAGTTTTCAATTTAAAATTACTCACAATGCTCCTATCTCTTTGAGATGGGACCACTGGTGCAACAATGCCACTATCTCTAAATATTTAGGAGGTAATTATAATGAGGTGATTCCGGATTGCCTCTAGAAAGACCTCATTTCTTCTTCTCACTGGGTTTTTCCATAAGATTTTTCGATGCATTTGAGGACTGCTTGTGGGAATTTTAATATTGATGGGGTAGCTGGTCCTTGTCTGTTTTGGAAAAACGGTTCAAACTATAAGTTCAATAGTTTCATTGAGGAGTATTATTCGGATATTCCTAATTGTTCTTGGCACAAACTTGTGGCCCAAAAGGAATATCATTAAACATTCGATTTTTGTGTGGTTGGCATTAATGGGGGGATTGAAAACTGCATACGCTCTTCAAATCAGGAACATTTCTGTGCCGGATATTTGCAGTCTTTGTTTTTTACACAAATAATATGTTACTTATTTATTTTTTGAATGTTCCTATTCATTCTATATCATTACTGCTCTCATTCCTGGATTACAAAGTTTTCTTCTTAAGCCCAATATTTTGCAGATTTTGGATTGTGTAAAATCTGAGTTTAAAGGAAATGCCGAGGTTAAATTTTTTTACAAAATTATGACTTGTTGTGCCATTTATCACATTTGGAAAGAGCGTAATAGCAGAAGGTTTGGAAACTCCTCTCTCTGTCATACTACCTTACTGCTTAACATAAAGAGGAATATGTTTGAAAAGGTTCTGAAATGGAAGAACTCATGGGATTTTTTGGGAAAATGATAACGTGCCCTCCAGTTTGGCTCTGGAAATGTTTGACTAACTGTTGGGTTATGTGTTTCACTTTCCTTCATGCTATTGGTACAAATCTACTCTATTTCTTTGCAATGTCCCTTCGAGATTCTGGTGCAGGTTGTTTGCCTGCTGGTTTGCTGCATGGTGGATTCACTGAATCATTCGGGTGGATTGTTTTTTGCTGCTAACGGTTGGGAATTTTTTTAGCACAATAATGATAGCTGCAGACCTTTCTCCCCTAGGAGGGTCTGCGTGGCAACCAGGGGATTTTGGGACTTCGTATTGACTGCAGCGCCTGAGTCCTGCTTCATGACGACCTTTCATGAAGTGCTGAAGAAGTTTTGAAGTTTATACCACATTTTGGCCTCTTATAGTTTCTTCGGTTTGTTTTGGTGGTATAGTTTTTGAGATCTTTTTATATTGCTTTCCCAGCTAAACTTTATTTTTTTAGTTTTAGCTGATTGTAATTTTACCTTTCCCTTTTTACTTGTATGTTCTCTTTTTTCCATAGTAATACAAGGGCTTAGGCCCCAAATTTTCCACAAAAAAAAAGACGCTCTACTTTACTAAGAAGAAGACGAGATGATTTTTTTTTTTTAAGATTCTGTTTCAATCTCACGTGAAAAAACATGTGGAGAGGGAATATATTGCATGCAAAAGCTGCTATTCGATGAAAGTAAATGAGAAAAGATCGTTGTGAGGAGAAGCTACAGTGGTCGTGTAGAGACGGGAGAAGGGTGCAGTGAAGTTAGACAGAATAGAGGTGTCGGGCAAGGAAGATTTGAATAAGGGGTTGTTCGGCCAGGATTTTGGCTCAAGTGGATGGAGGGTTGGTTGTTTCGCCGGACTAAGCAACCTGGGTTGAAGAGGACAGCCGTGAGGTTGATCTGAAGGATGGGTACGGCTAGACTGAGGTTTCGGCTGTAGCTAAAGACGTCCGGCCTTGAGCGGAGCTGACCTGGGCTTCTTGACTTCGGAATAAGCCATGGTAGGGAGGATGGATTGAGTGGAGATTCTTATGGAGTTCGGTTTAGAGGCACAGGCATTGACGAGCTTGGAGCAGGGACAAACGGGAGTTGCTTTGATAGAGGTTTGGAGACGGGGTTTGAAGCAAGGGATCTGGTTCAGGAAATCAAAGGGAGACCAACTCTAAAAGCTCTGGGAGGAAGGAGTTTTTAGATTTGTCGTAAGCTATGGGGAAGAAGGGCGTGAGAGCTTTCCAGTGAGTATCTTCCAATCCTTAAACAACATTGATTCCTGTCTTAAGACCACCCCACGTATCCATTCGAGGCAACCGGCAGGATTTGCGTGATTTCTGAGCAAAACTTCAACAGAACGAGGAAAGAACATTAATTTGAGATTTGAGATTAGTTCTGACTTCTGATTTTATTAGACCTAATAATAATATTAAATAATAAAATATTATTATTTAATTAATTGATAAATCAGATTGGTGGAAGTGTGATAACCCCCTCCAAAAGGTTTCGATTAAGATGCCTTCGCCTAGTAATGTGTGCATTCGCCTCAAAATTAGTGTGTATTTCACCTCGTTTAACGTGTCGAATTCATCGATTATCAAAATTAAATTAATTGATAGTGCATTTAGGGTGTTGACGGCACTCCGGATGCACCGACGAAGTCCGTTTGTCAATCGGACGTCATTCAGCTGTCGTCGAGAATTAATTTCCTCTAAATACATATTATTATATTTGAATCGCACTTTGAAATTTGCGACACCACCTCAAACGATCCAATTTGATCAAATAAAATGTAGACACTTAATGTCGACGATGTTCCGGACGCAACGGTGCCATCCGTTTGGCAATCGGACGTCATGTCGTCTCCGTAGAGGCAAATTTCCTCGATGTGTGCGCCCTTGCATTATATTAGGATTGCCTCGAGATATGTGCCACCAATATGAGTGCTTCAAATTGAATAAACAAAAAAATACAAATTTTAGAGGATGGCATTATTCCGGACGCAACGGTAAAGTCCATTTGTCGATCCGACATTGTTTGATCAGCCTCGCGCTTTAATTTCGGGTGTTGGTCATCCCTTTTGACCGGTCTCATCCGATTCTATTGTGAGGGTCCTCGACCCAATAGAATTCAGTATCCTGATCGCAACGACGTCGTCCATTTAATAATCAGGAGTTGTTTGACTCTTCAAGTGACGTGCGGTGCCAAGGTACATATTGCTTTATTCAGCAGTTTGGGTCCTTTATCACGTGGTTTGAGGTATAGGGGTCAACATTTTCATTCCAAAGGAAAAAATGATGAATATAGTTAAACATTATTAATTAAATAAAACCTCAAAAATCACCAATTAATCTAAGAAAAATTATAGTTTATTAATGTAATACATCTGACTTAATAGCTTTCTAATTAATCTTCTTAATTTTCAGCCAGACTAGCTAATAATTTAATAGTCAATATATATCGACACTGGGAAATAAGAAAACAAAATAATCATAACATAGGCAATGTGAAATCACTTTTATTTAATTCCATTTTGTTATATCTGACTACTTAAAACTGAGAGAACTGCAGCCAAGGATCTAGCTCCTTGGGCGGAAAAGGCAGAGAGAAAAGAATTGAAAGAAAAAGTAATTCATATTCATTAAAGCGGTACAGCAAGTGTATTTATAAGAATACAATGACATAAAGGTAAATACATAACAACTAGAGGGAAGTAATGCTAACTGCCTCCCTCAAATTAATATATCATTCGAAGGTTGAATGATTAATTTGCTGTGAAGGGCGTTACACCGATTGATGGAGAAAGGCTTTGTTAGAATATCAGCGATTTGATCCGTTGAGGAGATATGAGTAAGTGTTATGTCACCAGTCCCAATGTATTGCTGAATGAAGTGGTAGTCAATCTCTATATGTTTGATTTTGGGGTGCAAGATGGGATTCTTTGAGAGAGCTATGGCGGAAACATTGTTGCAGTGATTCGTGGTCGGGGATAGATGTGGAATATGTAGTTCTACAACTAGCTGACGGAGTCAGAAGACCTCTGAAATGGCAGCCGATAGAGATCTATATTCTACTTTGATAGAAGATTTTGCAACCGTGACTTGCTTTTTGATGGACCACGAGATGAGATTTGGGCCCAAGAAGGTGCATAATCCCGAAATGGACTTTCGATCCATGGTATTGGTGTAGGAGTTTAGAGTGAGGTCCCCGAATGTGATGGGGAGGCCGAAGGATATGGCCCCTTTGATGTGCAGAAGTAGACATTTAAGAGCTTGAAAATCTTGGACGGTTGGTTGTTGCATGTGTTGGCAGACGAGGTTGGTTGCAAAGGCAATGTCAGGTCGGGTTATGAATAGATATTGTAGTGATCCGGTGAGTTTATGGTAGAGAGTTGGGTTGTGGAACGGTTGCAAATTGTTGTGTTGATGTTTGGATTTCGGCGTAACATGAGTGGGCGCTGCTTTGCAATCATCAAAGCTGGCATCATGTAGAAGTTTGGTGACGTAGTGTTGTTGTGCGAAGTAGCCGGTTGGAGTCTGAGTACTTGAATTCCGAGAAAGAGGGAAATTTGACCAAGTTGCTTGAGAGTGAATTGTAAGTGTAGCTATTTTAACAGAAGTTGAATGTCGGACTGATCGTTACCTGTGATGAGAATATCATCCACATAGATTAATATATAAATGAGAATAGAATTTTGATGAAATATAAGGAGTGAGGGATCAGAATGACTAAACCCGAATCATTTGGATTGAAGGAAGCTTGTTAGTTTCTGGAACCATTGGCAGGGTGCTTGCTTGAGGCCGTAGAGTGATTTGTGAAGCTTGTAGATGGAGGTGGGATGGTGTGGGTCCTCGAATCCTGGGGGTTGGCTCATGTAGATGTTGACTGGAAGATCGTCATGCAGGAATGCATTAGAGACATCAAGTTCGAGCATTGGCCAATGTCGTTGAAGAGCAAGAGTGAGTAATATATATGCAAATACTAGGCATTTTCACAACAGGACTGAAAGTCTCGGTATAATTTACTCCAAATTTTTTATCATCGCCAAGAGAGGCAATACGTGCTTTATAGCGATCGACTTGGCCGGTAGGGAGAAGTTTGGTTTTAAAGGTCCATTTGCTATCGAGGATCGGTTTATCTGGTGGAGTGGGTACAAGGGACCAGGTGCCCAGTTTCTGGCGAGTCGTGTATTCATCAAGCATTGCTTTATGCTAATGGTCGAACTTGTTCGCTTGGGTGTAGGTTCTCGGAGTAGATTGGGAAGGGTGTGGCATATGAGATTAAAGATTTGCTTCAATTTTGAAATTTCGAATTTAAGATGAGTCTGCATGGGATGAGTGTTGGTCGGTCTGGGTTGATGAGGGGAAGGAGTGATTGTTGGAGTGTGAGTTGGAATCGAAGTATTTATGGAAGAAGAGTGTGAACGACTGGTTGGCATAGGAGATGGTTGAGTATATGAGTTTGATTTGAGGGAGGAGGTGGGACGATTGAGGTGGTAGTAGATGATGTAAGAATGAGGAGAAGGGGTGGGATGGAGTTGTTCGGTAAGGATTGAGTGGGAGCACCTGTTTGGTTTATGGTTTTATAAGGAAAGGTGGACTCGTAGAATATGACATGACGAGAGGTATGAGTCTTGCCTGAAGTGAAATCAAAGCATTTGTAACCTTTGTGAAGGGTGGAGTAGCCTAGAAAGATGCATTTGTGAGATCGTGGTGAGAATTTATTAGATGTGTAAGGTTTTAGCTAGGGAAAGCAGAGGCAGCCAAAAATTTGAAGATGAGAGTAATTTGGAGATTGTCCATGAAGGCGTTGATAAGGGGTTTGAAGGGAGATGGATTTGGAAGGGAGACGATTGATGAGATGGTGAGCTGTTGACAGAGCTTCAGCCCATAATTTATTCGGAAGATTGGAAGCATGAAGAAGAGTTCAAGTGAGATCGAGAATGTGCCGGTGTTTCCGTTCGGATAAGGCATTTTGCTCAGGAGTGTGAGGGAAGCTAGCTAAGTTGTTGATTGATACCCGATTCTTGCAGATAAGATTTGAATGTGTTGCTAATAAATTCACCGCCGCCATCGGAGCGTAAAGTTTTGGGGGTGCATTAGTGTTGATTTTTAACAAGATTACAAAATGATTTAAATTTTGCTATAGCTTCGTGTTTGGAATACATAAGGTAGAGCCACGAAAAACGAGTAAAGTCATCTATGAAAATAATATAGTTTATGTATCCATCTAAAGAATTTGGCGGAGCTGGACCCCATATGTCAGTGTAAATGAGTTCAAATGGAGTTGAAGTAATAGAGAGACTTTTATTAAAATTTTGCTTGTGACTCTTGGTCACGTTACAAGAAGTGCAAACAAAAGAATGAGAAACATTATAAAGATCAGGTATGCTGTTAGCTAGAACCGGGATGAGATGATTGTTCGGATGGCTGAGGCGAGCGTGCCAAAGTTTAGAAGACGTGGTGGTAGCAGTAAGAGCCTCGAGTGAGGTGTCGGGTGACATATGAATATGACAAATATCGTTATGAAGATGCCCATGAAGAAGCAGTCGTTGGTCCTGAATGTCCTTAATTTCAAATCCGTTAGCATTGAAACAAATTGAGACAAAATAATCTGAGTTGAGTTTAGAAACAGATAAAAGATTGTGTGTGAGCGATGGAACATGAAAAAGGTTACAAAGACGAAGCTTATGAGTGTCGAGAAGAGGAAGGATGCCTTGACCGGAGTTTTGAATGGAGAGAGCGGATCCATTGGCAATAGAAACAATATCATATCCATGATAGGCAATAGGTGATTGAAGATAAGTGTCATCCGGTGTGAGATGGGTTGATGCACCAGAGCAAGAACCCAGTCTTGAGTGGCCGGATGAGGCGGATGGTTAAGTAATTAAGAGGGCACGTGGCGATCTTGAAACAGTGGGAGCGAACTTGAAGTTGCAGCGATGCCAACAGTTGAGGGCTATGTGACCGGTCTTGCCACAGATTTGGCAAATTGGCTTAGCGAACGGAGTGGGGGAGGACTGAGGTGTTTGGTTCGCCAGGTTGCTAGAGAATGTCAAAGGATTATTGTTTTTAAAGAATCATTTATGGGGGCGTCCACATAATTTTTTGGATGAACAGGCATAGAGAGTTGTAGCCGGTGAACTTGTTGTTTGATCTTTGAGGTGCTCTTGATGGAGATTAATCTCCTCGCTGCATAGAAGATAGTATAAAGTGTCGAGATCTATAGGTAGAAGAGAGGTACAAATGAAGGTCTTGAAGGAGTTGTAGGTGGACGGGAGACCATTAAAGATATATATGATGATGTCCTCCGAATCAATTTTTGATCCGGAGGCGGCGATGTTGTCAGCTATTGATTTTATCTGAGCTAGGTACTGTTGCATGGTAAGATCTTTCAGTTGAACGTGATGAAGTTCATTCTTTAGTTGGATGATGCGAGAATGACAAGTGGGTTGGAGGCGCCATTCAAGAATCGACCCAGCTTCATGTGTGGTGATGGAGGAAAGAATGTATGGTAGAATAGATTGAGAAATTGTTGAGAAGAGGGTGGATAGTAGATTGTTGTCTGCAAGCTGCCAGCGAGCGTAATCGGTGGAATCGACGTCGGTTGGTGAAGTGGTGATGTCGGTTAGATGGCCGGCGTACTCATTGGTGGTGATTTGCTGAAGTATTTGCGCCCGCCATATAGCATAGTTATTCATAGTGAGGTGATGCGGAGCGAGGTTCTTGATATTCGAGACTAAGAACTTGAGGGCGGGAGGTATAGACAGGGCGGTGGAGGAAGATTCAGAGATGGTGATGGAGGAGGAGGGAGGAAGGGAATTGGCCGAATCTCGATCTCCCATAGCTAGCTCTGATATCATGAGAGAACAACAGCCAAGGATCTCCTTGGGCGGAGAAGGCAGAGAGAAAAAAAATTGAAAGAAAAGGTAATTCATATTCATTACAGCGGTACAGCAAGTGTATTTATAAGAATACAATGGCATAAAGGTAAATACATAACAACTAGAGGGAAGTAATGCTAACAAAAACATCCATACAAGCTTCTTCGAAAGCAAAAATTACAAAATAAATTAACACTTGAATTATATACGCTCTCATTATGTTCAAATCACGATGATTTGTTTATGAAAAAATACAAAATAAAAATCAACTTAATTAACAAGCACATTTTATCATCTAAATTGAAGCATTAAAGGGGCCTTATCGCAATTCGAAAGCCATCTTTGAAGTCAAGATAAGGATAGGAGATTGGCCAGTCTGAGCTGTTCAAAGGAACCCAACTATAATTAAGAAGAAGATGATGGATGAAGAGGCTGGCCTCAAGCTTTGAAAGTTCATATCCTGGACACATTCTCTTTCCTCCTCCAAAGGGCATAAAGCCTCTTGCTGAATCCACATTCTGATTATTCATTAAAATATAATTAATTACCCATTAAATTATAATTAATTCATAAAACCTCTTGTAGATAGATAGATATATACCTTCCATCTGTAGGGATTGAAGGTGGAGGGATCTGAATGTAGAGACGGATCTAAGTGAACTCCTGTAATAATGGGAAGAACTTTCCACCCTGCTGGAATCTCGAAGCCTTGAATGAAGCATTTAGAATAAGCAATGAAAGAGTTAGATGTCGATCATATAAATAGCTTTATTTTTTGTCATTAAAAGTACTGCAATAATATAATGATCAAGGATTTATTAATTGCTTCTAATGATTATATATAAAGAAGAACTTTAGATATTAAGGATCGATCGGATGTCAATTATATGGTTCTATATATCATGAGTTATATATATATGTTGATGGATTTTGATTTTTTGTGCAAAAATACATAATTCACTCTTTCACGAACAGCTTAATTATATATGCACTATAATGCATATTCAATGGGCATAAATATATTGTTGCTTACCTTTGTATTCAATGGGCTTTATTGTCTCTCGATGAAGGAATTTAACCACATTACCAACTCGAAGTGATTCATTTATAATGCACTGAGTGAATTCCATCTTCTTGTAATCATCCCATCCAAGCCTTTCTCCTCTTTTGTTCTTCATTATCCTAACGTGCTCTTCCTGCATGCATGCGCTCACCAATATTTTCATTTGAAATTTGAAGTTACATAAATATATGCAAATGTTATTGAAAAATAACAAACAATTCAATTTTTTAAAAAAACTATATCTTTTTTTTATTTCGTTTATAAATTATAACATTCAAAATAAAAATTAATACCGAATTAGTAGGCATATATCCATACAGTATTATGCCAAAAAGTTTCTACTGATTGTGTTAATCTGGATCTTTCTGATTTTTGGGTGCATTTCGGGTGCCGCCTTAGAGTGTATTTAAGCAATTTTGTATTTTGTTAGATGGGGACTATCGGCTCTTAAGTTTTTCTTTCTTTTAATGATTGTAGCTCTTTGAGCATTAGTGAGATGATTGTCCCCTTAAGGACTATGTAATGTTGTTTTATATTAATGTGTTAGCCCCTCTGTGAATTTCAACTAAAAAAAAATCCATACAGTATTATTATTTTAATTCTTAATAGAATTCTATTAATATAAAAAATATATTAAAAAAATTTTATGTAATTCATGAATTAAAAACCTAAACATTGTGATCATATGGATATTTAATTATATGTTTACCTTCAATTCTTCCATGATACTTGGATTTGCAGTAAGATGCTTGACCAGCACAGCAAGCAACATGGCAGTGGTTTCATAGCCTCCGAGAAGAAGATCAATGGTAAGTGAAAGAACGTTCTCCTCTGTTACATTATCATCAGCTAACAAAATGGCTAGAAAATCTACTCCATTATTAATATTCAATTGCTCAGCTCGGCGCCTCATAATTCCTCTCAAAATATCACTTATTCGATGCCTGGCCTGCAAAAGCAACCATACATCAGTAATTATTAACTAATTAGTATATAAATGAAAAGATCAGTAGAATTAATTATTAATTATTCTTTTAATGACCTTTATTGCCTTGGCATAAGCAGTTCCAGGGAAGTTAACAGGAAGTGAACTTAGTCCTTTCATAAATGTTTTGTAGCAATCGAGAATCTGAATGGCTTCCTCATCTTCGGGCTTAAGGCTCAATGTTTGCTTCACTATAATACTGAATGTGAACTGCAAAACAAACTAAATGGTTATTCAACTTAAATTACATTAGTCTCTTAACTATTCGTTTATATAAATAATTCATGATTAATTTAGGTAATAGATAACTATTAGAAATTCCTACGTACTATGTATAAATAGTACTCATTAATAATTAATTACCTTGCGAGTCTCTTCACAAAGTAGTAAAGTTTCTCTATTCGCCCAAGATCTCATGAGAGAGAGAGCGCTGTCTTCAATATCAGAGAAGAAAGAGCTCTTCTCAGGATTCTTTACGGCTGCCATAAGGCTTATTACAATGCTACGTAAGTGCTTGTGAGGTTCTCCGGTCACTGCCAGCAGAGTCTGTTCCCCAAGAACTCCGGGAATGGTCTTCGGATAACTGGCTATGAACAATCTCTCCTCATTGTTTAACACGTAGGAATTGAATTCAGCATCACATGAGACAATAGTTCGTCTTCCAAAGACATGACATTGAAATATTTTCCCATATCTACTCCACGTACGTACGTAGGTTAATTACCCATGCATGCATGCATGCAAAACACGTAAACACCAAAAATTATTAAAAAAAAGTCTATTTTGAATGAATTTCAAATATGTTAATTTATTAAAATAAAAAATATGGGAATTTGATATCGGAAAAGATGCATATATCTACATGTATTATACCCACATGAAGTCAAAACTAAGTCTTTATAAAAGATATTGTTGGTGGAGCCACACTTGATCAAGGGGCAGGGCCAGAAATTTTTCTTAGTATATATGAACACAAACTCAAATTAGGTTAGAAAGTATTTGTAAGCAAAACCAACATGCATGTTGATCGATATCATGATCCATTAATTCATAGCACCTTTTCTTAATAATATTATGAGAGCACTCTATTTCAACCAATATTTGCAATAATTAAATCATTTCGATTAATTAAAGATTTCATTTGGGACAATTTCTTATTATTTTCTGAAGTAGTTTTTTAGTTAAAAATTTTTAAGTTTTAAAAAAAATTATACTAGGAAGTTACTTCATTAAGCAATAAGAAAACTACAACAAATGAAACCTAAAGCTTCATGCTTCGTTCGGAACAATTTTTTATTTTTTTTCTAAGGCAATTTTTTAATACAAAAATTTATTGAGCTTAAAATTTTTATACTAAAAATTTACTTTAGAAAGCAATAAGAAAGATGTCCCAAATGAAGCATTAAACTTCATTTTGGATGGCTTTCATTTGGATAGTCAAATAGTTTTTCGGTATTATAATTAAAAAAAAATATGAGTTGCCTCATTACAATTACGAAAATAATTGATTTTTTTAATTGTTGATTTTAATAATTTGATTTTAGAAAAAAAAATTACATATCTTCATAAGCATTTATCAAAATCACATATATCATTAACTGAAAGATAATAAAAATAAAAATAAAAACAAAAAAACAAAAAAAAAAATCATCATACATATCTTTTTTATAAAGGAAAACATATGGCGATTCTCAAAAGAGAACTATTTGGAAAAAGTATTGATGAAATTTATAAATTAAATTTGTAAAACTTGTTATATTATGTCAGGTTGAAGAAATTATAACGTGCTGACACTAGACGTAGAGCTGTATTTGAACTCCAATGAAAACATAACGCATGAACTAGTTTATTATTATGTATTACTGGGCATTGCTAACACAATAATGCACAGTAATGACTAGTTTTACATAGTAATACACTACTCCATGTGTCATACTTTCTTTGGAGTTCGAATGTAGCTTCTACATATGGTGTTCACACGTAATAATTTCTCATAAATGCTCCCACTATAGATCCACTATGATTCTCACTATTTTAATAAATTTTGATAAAATCTTATGTATTTTTTTATAATATAAACGCAGCTCATCTTGGTTTGTTAGTCGAGAGCTTTGAGCATCAATCAAGAGGTTTTGAATTCCAGTCTTGTGCATGTGTGAGTTTGCTTAATAGGGCTAAATGTCCAAAAGAAAAAAAAAAAACATATAATATAAAATTTTTCTTTGATTCCCCAACAATAATATATATTAGAAGCATCGATCCTGTCAGTTGAAGAAACTCTAGTTTACCCAGAGTTTGCAGATCTATCATGATCAAATTTTGATCAACGCGCGTATAGAACCAAAAAAAAGAAAAGGATAGAGAGATGATTAGACCTCTTTATGTTTTGTTGAAGGAACTTTCCCATTGAGGATGCAGGGTGAGGGTTGACGAAGGAGAGGGTGTGGCCAATGAGAGGGAGAAAGGATAAAGAACCAGGTGGAAGCTTTGAGGCCGAGATGAAATATCCATTAGCTATCTTCCAATAGAAGAACAATATGGGGAAGAGGAGGAAGGATAGAAGGTAGGGAAGAAGGAAGAGAACCATGGTGTCCTTAAGGAATGATTTGATTCTATCTACATTATAACTGTGAGTGTTTATGCACTATTTTAAGTTAATTGTATTTAGAGTGAATATTTAGTATCATGTAAATAAAGAAATTGCTTAATTAAGAGTGCATTAAGAAACAGTATGAATCAAATTAGTGAAAAAATGTTGAAGATTCGTTGTATGAAAACACCAAGAGATCTGATTATTCTACTTATTTGTTGTGGTTGTTTTGGGGTGTAATGAAGTCAAATAAAACTGTGAAACAGCTCAGAATTCAACATGAGGTCTAACCGATGAGATGACAAAGCCAAATTAGAGCTTTGTCTTGACTTGTCTTATTAGCGAACTTTTATTACATCTAGTGAACGTACGCTTCTCTACATTCGGTTTATGCAAAAAAGCGCCTGTACCGAGTTTTTTGAAAAAACTCGGTACAACTCGGTACTCGGTACAGGCGCTTTTTTTGCCTAAACAGAACGTAGAGGAGCGTACGTTCACTGGATAAAATAAAAGTTCCTTATTAGCTAGCTATATTTGGCTACTAAACACAATTCAAATTTCTCTCTCTTTATCGTCTGAGCTAAATTTTTATTAGGGCATCTCCAACAGAGAACTCCATTTTTCACGGCAAAATACAGCAAAACACTAAAATGTCGTGGTGCTGCTCCAATCAAACGCCATTTTATGTGCTTATGCGAAGGTAACGATCCTTCTCCCTTTCGAGCGTTTTCCGTTTTAGGTGAACAGTGCGATGTCAATATTGGCGTTGCACTGTTCACCCACAAGTAAATGACGGAAAATTTGGCGTTCCGCTGGAGCGACCGAACGACGCCATATGCTCGTTTGGTGTTCGGTTGGAGATGCTCTAACTTCTAACTCTTTGTACCATTTTATTAAGATAACTATCTGACCCTGGAGCGTCTATGTGGTGCTCTTTAGTTCTGATTGTTATGCATCCAACTTTTTAAGTAAAAGAAGTTAAATCTTTAAACATCGAGGTGCCTTTCGATGTAATTATTGAAATTTCATTAAGAAACTCCGTAGTTAAGTGTGATCGTCTCGGAGAAATCTTGAGATGAGTGGCCTCCTCAAAAATTACACCTACAGGACAAAATCGTGAGGCCTTTAGATCAAAGCGAGCAATATCTTCTTAATTTATGTAGTTTCATGTTTCCTTTTGTATTGCTCATATATAATTGGGAAGAATTGCCTCCTGTAAGTCTACATAGACTTAATTGCCAATAAACAGAGGAGAAGAATTTTTCTGCAATAGTTATCTATAAGTGAGAATTAGGAGTTTGTGTGTATCCTGAATTCTTCTATTAAGTTGGTGGTTGTTTCATTGTTTGCATATAGAAATCCTTGGAGTCCTGATCAGTTCTTGTAATTCTGATGTTGAAGGTTGAGTGGCTTCCGTTTCTTCTTCTTCTCATCTAGGCGTTTACATTATATCCATATACATTTTTTTTTTCTTAATGAATTAGTTAGCTTGGTGAGCTAACTTTGGATTAAATTTTAGCTTGAGCTCGCATTTGATTAGTTAGTCAAGTACAAATTCATGCCACAAAGATTGGTGCATGACTTGACTTGTTTACACTCCATTAGGCATCATCACAATATCGCACCATCGGTGCATGCGAAGATGAGCTTGCAGAGAAGGCATCGCATGGTTGGCACCAAGCGAAGAAGAAGATGAGTTCACAAGAAGCTCGAACCCAATTTACAAATGAAATTATGATTTGATCAACGTTTGAAATTGGTTCGATCTATGGGTATGAATCATATTCGAGTGGAGATCGAGCTGGTTCAAATCAAATTTGAATTACATTGCAAATAAGAAACAATTTAAACCAATTTTGTTTGCAAAGGGCTTTAACAAAAGAGTCCACAAATAGAAGATATCTATTTTAATTGAAACCCAAGTTTTAGATATATTTAATATAAATAAATTAATAAATAATATGCATATTTGACCGATTATTAGTGCTTGGAGGGGAGCAGGAGAGTAAGTGAGCTGAGCCGGCTCGAATTTGACTAATTAACGAGCTCACAAGTTTGAGCTTATTGAACCACGAATCCAAACTTGAGCTTATACTCGAGCTCGAGCCTAGCTCGGCTCAAAAGCTTGTTGAGTCTCTCGATTAAATTAAAATGTATTTAATATGTAATTTAAATTAATATTATATAATATGTTTTAATAATCTAAATTAATTATTTATTAAAGGAATAAAAATCTAAGAAAAACTGAATATTTTAATTTAAAAATAAGAAATCAAATTCAACAATCGAGTTAGAACTCGAGCCATCAAGTGTAGCTCAAGCATATGAATTTTTTAAGGAGTCTAGATTGAGCTTAGTAAACAATCTTGAGTCGAGCTCGAGCTGGACTCAAGCTCAATAACAACTAAACAAACTCAGCTCACTTAGAAAAATATTTGACTCGACCCCCCAAGTCAAAAATCCCCATTTAAATTCCCCATTTTATTTACATACTTCCGTTCCCATTTAGCGCCAAAAGTTTGTTTATAACATAGCCCAGCTAAAATAGAAACCCCGCGCGATTCCTCTGTCTCTAATCTCCGGACTTGCGATCGATCGCCGGCGATTCCTCTCAGTTATCGTTTCGCTGTTGCCGCCACCGCCGCTGGTAATTTCTTCTCTTCTTTCTTGTCTCTTTATGACGTTCTCGATGATAAAGGCGTTGGGGGTCGATTAGGGCTAATTAACATCGCATTGGAACAATCTTCCTCCTCTTCTTCTCTAGTCTTCTTTCGCTGGCTCAATCTCTTCGTCTATATTCAAAATCTAATAACCTTAACACTTGATCTGTTCAATTAACCATTATCCCACTTTTTTATTTGCTTTTTTGTTTATCCCTAAATTTATTTAGAACATCACTGTCCGACTGACCTGCTTAATTGTTTATGTTGTTTAGCTATATTATTCGTTATTATTTTCTACCGTGTGATTGTAATGGTTAGATTTTCAAGATACCCTGCTTAATAATTTTTAATGTGTGGTTTATTTTTCTTAATTGATTCTTCTTGATATATAGTATTTGCCAAACATCTTTTGTCGGGTAGCATTTTAAGAAAATGAACAACTCAGTTTATTATGTTTGCTCGTGTTATTACCGACTAATTGGGAATTTATTGAAAGTGAAGCATATGGGTTAGAATTTCATGGTGCTCTTCGAGTTTTGAGTGATTGTATTGCAAATGGAGATGTTTGAACGTTAGTTTTGTGAATAATTAAGTTTGAAGGATTACTCACAAAATTGCCTCTTGATTTTATATCCATATATCTTAAATCAAATAAAATTTCTGGTACAAATTTTAATATCATTGGGATTTATAAATATTTAAGTATGCAAGGTCTAATTAGTTGCTTGATGCATGTTTAGCGATTAAAATCAGATGCTTTGGTTTGCTAATTTTTCTTCTTGCGCTTCGAAACAGAAAATATCATTTGTGTTTCATGCTTTGGCATTGCAGACAATACTGATCATCCCTCTTCACCTTGTTGATAATTATGTTTAGTCTGCTTCAATGTTGAAAGTTGAACTTAATCCAATGAAGATGATTTCTTGCTCTGATACACTTCCATGATATATGAGAAC